CGTCATACTTTCCTTAGTTTATTTGATCGAGCCTCATCCTCAATTCTTGTGTTTATCCTTCAGGATAGATACATGATTTGAGGTACAGTGCTCTTTCATTTTAAACTACGAAAAATATGGGGTCAGTTTGATTTCATACCTCAACGTCCTTCCGAAGCACGCGACGAAATTTTAATTCCGGTGACCGACAGCTTCTTACGGACAACCCCACAACCAAACCATCCCCGAAATAACGCCGACAAGCAGCATACGATCAGTTGGAAGCCATGAAGGTTCAACGTAGCAGAGCAGAGAGCGGAAGCCTGAAACAAGGAGCGGGAGCGGAAGCGATCTCAGAGCAAACAGGAAGGAGCGAAAACACGAAACGAGCAGGAGCGGAAACCCGAAACGAGCAGGAGCGGAAACCCGAAACGAGCAGGAGCGGTGAAGCCCCTGCGATCAGCTCAAGCCCGAGGATGACGCAGGAGCAGAGAAGACGCAGCCCGGCGCATGAGCAGAGACACACAGGTAGAAATGAAGCCGACGACGCACGTCGACAGCTGCGACAACGTCGAGAGAGTTAGATCGACGAAGAGAAGTAGTGGAGTAATAACCAGGGATCGCCATGGCGAAACCCTAGCAGAGCGTGAGCGTGAGCGGGAGAGCCATATGATATAAATATATATATATATATATTAACCTGCTTAAAAAATAAGGTCACATTGATATATATATATACATATGAGGAAACAAAGTCTAAATGCTCACAGTCATAAAAATGTAAGCACACCACTATATCCATATTAAGCTATCAATATGATGACATTAACACAAGAAATAAGATGAAAAACATTTTTTATTCCAAAAAAGAGACTTAACTTTTAATAAAGCACTCCAAAATTAGCCCAAAGCAAAATATTTGTTAAGGGAATTTGACGCTGATTTGTCCAAGACATGCCCAAGTCAAAGTAGTCATCTATACAAGAAGCCCCCTCCAGTCTTAAATTGATTCAATTGATGTAACTTGGAATGCACATGAATGATCAGTGTCTCTCTCAAACATCTGACAACTCCTAATGAAGAGTCACTACCATATCCTCAATCCTTTCCAAATAAGCCAACAACTCGCACATCTCCTCGCCCCGCTGGATCCATGCCAACTGAGTGAAGAAGCTCTCAATTGCATCCAGATGATGAGGAAGCGATCTAGAGGACGTTCGAGGTCAATCAACTGCTTCCATGTGTCCTTTTGAGGGGTTGTCAGGGCGATCCATCCCGCCATCCTCACTCGAGAGTTGAATGCCCTGGCTTAGTGCCTAGTCTGCTATCAATAGTGCCCCAGTCGAACTCTTGTCTAGGCCTATCAGAGCTGGATCATCATCCAGGTATATCAAAGCCGGGTTATTCGCACCAGGCGTCATCATAATACAAAAAATATTTTAAAAAAAATCAAATCCCACAAACAAGACCAAAGCCTCTCATGTTGAGGAGCCAATTCAAATCAGATACTGCAATCGATATGGCAAGCTCACCATGGAGCACTGGTGAAAGTGATAGAAGAATACCTTAAGTCATATGAGTAACCTGTGCCTTAGTGGAAGTTTGGATGGTCGGTTTAAGAATTAAATTAGTTGGTTGAGCATTCATCTGCATCACATCGAGGATCAAATCAAATAACCCCATCTGATCCAGTAAGGGGAGTGCAACCATTCTCTTCTTCCCCACAACCTTCTTCATCTTCTCACCCTTTACGTACCCCCCTCCTTTCGCTTTCCCAAAGATGAAGTGAATTAGATCTGTGTTAGGAATGTTAGAATGAAATTTTTACATCTTATACATCATAATTCCAAAAGCATGGAAGCCGGTCAACTCAAATAAGGAAAGGTGTGGAGCAACATCACACTTTATTTATAAGAATCAAATGCGTCAAAATTAAGGAAGTTCAATTATTTAACATGCCTTATTTATAAGAGTTAAATGCACCAAAATCAAGGGAGTTCAATTATCGAATCATTAAACTAAATTGAATGCAATCAACATTTGCATTAAATTCTTTTATTTTTATCGCAATATCACTTTTAAGAAGTAATATAATAAAACAACTAAAATATGTACATTAAAAACACGATTGCACGATCTTAAAGAGATCAAACGGTCTAAAAGAGAACAGTGTAATTGAGGTCAGCCCACTGCCAGAAGATGAGACTCACCCACTGAACGAGGAAAACACTATGAGCCAAGCCAACGAGACCAAAACCAACAGAGCCATGAGGCAGACCAATAGACGACTGCATAATTTAGGGTTTAGGGCAAGCCATCTGGCAAAAAATAAGACAAAAGAGCATCCAAGCCAATCAATACAAAAAAACAGACTTGATGCAATATCTTATCTCCCAGTAGAGGCAATCCAAAGGAAGATCTAGTTCTGCAAAGCATCTTTGATCGTCCCGTGAAGGCTCCAACGACTCCTCACTAGATATCAAAGGTTGACAACAAAGTTGGATTAGCTGACCAAACCACACTGACCAACTCAGCCGACCGAGCCAAGCCATAACCAGCCAATCGATAAATCCACATTTATAAAATACCAAAAATACCCTAGTATGGACCATATCTAAATGGGGGTAAAAATGTAATATCAATATAATACTATCTCTTTTATAAATAGAAAAATCATTTCATGAAGGGAATAAGATTCATCACTGATAAGAAAAAAGGCCAACAGTGGGAATCAACATCAATCAATGATGAGCGGAGTTTTAAATTTCTTGAGAAATCTCAAAATTCTTTTTTAAAATCTCACGATCATATTTCATCCATCAACATTCAAAATTTAGAGAATGACTAACCGCATAAATCATCGAGAGAACATTTCAAATGAAATCAAAATCTTAGTGTTCTCGATACCATTAAATTTGGTTTATCAAACAACATTATCTAAACTATAAATTAAATCTCAATTAATTACAGAAATCTCACATGAATACTTAAGTGCTTTAAATTTTAAAAATTACATCAAGATTCAAACTTAATTAGATGAATTTTCTAATGTCATGAAGAACTATATTATCCTATTTTAAAAATAAACATAGGGATAATAACACATACATAATCACCAAACAAATTTACTTCAAAAAAAATTAAAAAAAAAACAAAATTAGAAAAGTACAATAACTAATTACAGAGTAAAATCCACTTAAAAAGCTAGTGAATATTTACTTAGAAATCATGGGTGGACTCGAATATATGTTCCCTACACTAGGAACCTAGTGATCTGAGAACCAAGTACCACATAAGATAGAACTCTGTAAAACACACATTATTATATTCTATCTACAAGATATGTAATCCTATATTTAATTATATTATTATTGCATAGACCAATACAAATTTTAATGTATTAAAAGATAATCATATATTAAATTACATTACTGGTAAGTTCAGTAGTTTGTGCTATGCGCATGTGAGTGATACTATAATTTCAGCAAATGACACTGAAACTGATGTGTTACAATGAATTCAAAAGTTGGAAACCAAGGGGGCAAAAAGTATCGTCAAGCTCACTAAAACCAGAATTAAAATGACCAAAATCACAAATTAAATCATAGAGAAAAGAATCTGCATCACCACTAATGAAATAAATACTGTGACAGCCTCAAATTCAACTTGGAATAGCACAAGAAATAAATATAAATTTCACAAAACCTAATTAAAAAAATTTTAAAAAAAAAGAGAAGCAAATCAGACAAGCAAAGAGTCATGGCTCACGCCAACATTGTTTGATAAAAATTGGAAACCAAATGCACAAATGATGTGTTACAAGACAACGTTAGTGACGAGCAATTGCAGTTTCTGAAGAATAGCTCCATTATGCTTTGAGGTAAAACCTTAGCCATGGAGCACAAAATTCTCTGGTCAGTAAAATACCTCAGTGGATTGATTGAAGCATGAACTTTTACCCTCCAGGTAGAGAAATGTTAATATCTGTCGTGGAATTCCTGGCATCCCGTGCTGAGGAATGTAGAGAAGCAGACCAGTTTTCTCCTCTAAATGAAGATGAGGTTGAAAGGACAGGCTTTGGGGTTGAAGAGCTGTGGGGCGCTTGCCCGCCGCTGTAGGTCTCCTCTATCTCCATACTGGACATGGGAACTGCGGCGGTCGGGATGGTGCTGGTAGCTTCAAGCTTAGGTTTGGTCTTTTGCTCCAGTTGGTAACTTGGTAAGAAGCTGCCAACCACCACCTGGAAGAACAGGCAAAGAGAGTGGAATCATTTAGATGAAATTCAAAGGTTGTCTAATCTCTGAACCAAAAATATCGAAAATTTTGTTTGGAACAATGACATACATACCACTCAATTCCCATGTATTTAAATATCTAACACGAAAGCTTAAATTTTTACATACAGGCCATCTTGCCAATGCAAGAATGGGTGTATTTCACTTTTTTAAAAGTAAAAATAGTGGTATTTTGTATGAGATAGGGAAATTTTGGTTGGTATTATTGTCAAAATCAAAGTTTAGATGGTAGATATGTAAACATAAGAATTGAGTTGCATGTACGTAAAAAAGATAGTGGGCACAAATCGAAAAGGAATTTAACCTGCACGGGACTAGCAGCGACCAGAAGACCAGCAACTCCTCCCCCTACAACCCGACCATCAGCGCTTGCCAAAGAGACGCTCATCCCGCCCGACCGACTCCTTGTTCCTCCATTTTCATTTGGAGTAAAAGACCCTGACAAAGAGAGAAGCTCGAACCGTCCCTGCAAAACAACACGAGTGGATATAATAGGAAGCCAAAATGTATGTTGAAGCTCAAATATCAAATCAATTAAAAATCAAACAGCATCTCAGTTGATTATATTAGGACAAGTGATGTTGCAAACTAAAGACATCAAATGAATGGTGCATTAAATTCATTGTGGCAAAAATCTATCCAAAGGAAATGGCTTCACTCTTCGCCAGAAAAAATTATTTCAAAGAAAGTAGTTAATGTCAAGCCTATAGACACCATACCATACTTGGTTCTCAAAGGAAAACTCTCAACATGAAACTAGGAATATCTAAAACAGAAAATTTAGTTAAGATTTAATATTTTTTATAGTTGGATAGGCTATTGACGAAGCTACTCAGATTACAAAATTATCAAAACACCGACATTACCACATTGGAAAAAAGAGAACTATGCTATGCTTTGTTTAGAAATAACTACATGAAGAAAAAAGCTGGATAAAATTCTCTTTTGTCACCCTTTTTCACCCCAAATTGCTTGCGTAGCAATACAGAACCATCAACAGGGTAACAATTAACCACCCAGAATAAATTTTATTTGGCTTCAGTAAAACCAACATAGGCATTACAAAAGCAATATAATAAAATGGTCGCAGGCGTGGACATTTTACATCTAGGCAACAAGAAAATAGAGTTAAACCAAGCAATGGCAGTATCAGTCGCTGAATGAAGTCGTGTCAGAATATAGTGTATATATCTAAACAGTAGGCAATAACTACGGATCTAAACAGTTGCTGAAGGAAGTCGTACATTTCAGCCTAGAGTATCTAACAAGCTCCTGAATGAAGTCGTACATGTCAGCCTACAGTATCAATAGGTGCATTAGGATGAACAATTATTTATGCCACAAATAGCGTATAAATTTCTCTTTTCATACATGTGAAGTCCTTGATTAAAAACCTTGTTCAAGAGTGAGATTTGGGGCAATTGGCTCTTAATCTTTCCTATCTTCTCATTTCAACAATTTTCTTATTATCTAGTTACCTTCTATTCAAGCGGTAATCCATCTTCTCATAAATTTTGATTTTTTAACTTTTTCTTATCAACTAATTACATTTTCTTCATGCTATCGACTATCTTAACATAAAGCCTTCCACACTGCTATCCAGAGTCACAACAGCCCTCAGGCTACTTATCAGATTAAGCTTACCAAGATAAAATATCTATGTCATAGCACTAACACTAAAACCTGCATATTTATTTGTGTTGCCTAAATGTGCATAGAGAATACAAATTGACATGCATTGTGTAAGCCATTAAAGGTAGTTAAGTTTTATTCTGAGAGCTTATCTTTTTTTTTTCTGAAAATGGAGTAAATGATACCTCATGAGCCCTTAGCTTATGCAGGCTAATATTCCAAAGTTTCAATGGAGTAAATTACATTGATACTTTACCCAAACATGGAAAACAACATCCAGAGTCACGCCTGAGGTAAAGGCAACTTATATTATTTTATAAATGCACATTTTATATGTATCTCTGTAATTACATGCATTTTCCCGTCCCTGTCGAATTACACAACAAGTAAATGCTTAATCTCTTTTTAAAAAGCAGAAAATTAGCATATAAAAGCCTTATCGGTCTTCTATTTTCAGTTTCTTTCCAAAGAGAAAAATTACACAATAAGTGTTTAACTGATGTCAAAATAAAAGTAAAAAGCTCTATAAAAGTAATAGGTGTGTAATACAGAAAATTCAAGCCAAGCAAAACGAACATACAATGAGCGTGTAAAACTAATTTTAGCAACAAATTTACCTTTAGCCAATGGTTTTCTTAATAATGCATTTACCTATTTATTCCATATCTCAAGGTTCAATCTTCAAGTTAAGTAATAGAATTTAAAAATTAAGAAAAAAAAGGGTGCAACAACTACATTATAAGTTCTATAGCTGCAATGAGATGTTTAGTTTAAAACCTCGTATGTTAACGTGCCACCAGAAGAATCAGGCTGCCGAAGTGTAACATTGGAAATTACGCCATTAGCTGACAAAATACAGATAGCTCGAGGCCCTTGCTGTGAAAATGATATTATCTTCATAGTAACATCCTGAAAAGAACAAGTATATTGGTAATATATTAAAAATGATGGAACTAAAAGAATCTATGACAATCTTGTGCGCTTCAGCGGTTATTAAAACTTTTCAAGGGATGTAAGTTCTGTGCAGTAGAGATGCAAGTAAGAAAATTGTGCATGATTTTTGAACTGTTGCTAAGAGAAATATTCTCTGATTTTAGCGCGCACGCGCACACACACACATATATACATATATACATATATATGTATATCTGTACATGTATCTGTATATATGTATATGTATATGTATTTATCTAGAGAGCATATATTCCATTAAATCTGAGGCACAAGTATAATTTACATCGTATGCTGCTTGATTAGCATCATACTTTGCTCCACATCCGATTAACACAAATAATTCCCTGACTGCTTAGAGCATTTAATTTGACACTTTTTTTTCTCCAATTGGATCCCTAGGTTTATCAACATGATCATTTTGATTTTCTGATCAACAGATACTCATAAAAACAACAGTTAAAAATTAGTGAGTTTAACTTAGTCCCTAAATTTATACAAAAATGAATATTATTTACCTTTTTGGCTGACTTTTAAGGACTACTTTAATGAAAGGACCAAAATAATCTTGTTAGGGTAAGTTTAGGGACCAACTTGCTTAAAAACGTTTGGTGCCAAAATATACACATCCTAAATAACCAAGAGGATCAGTCTTGCCATTTTCTCCAATAAAGTACATTTATTGAGTCCAGCAAACTGAAAGTAAACATAATTTAGCTCCTCCATGAAAAACAGTTGAAGTATTACCTAAGCTTCTATCGGCCCTAGCAATTTAAAATCCCAATTTTGACCCAACAAAAAGAGCAGTTTTCATATCTATATCTTCAAGTGACGAGATCCTTGATTATATTTACAATCATTATAGATACCAAAATTTGTTTTTACATTGAGCAATGAGAAAACAATAGACGAAGAATGTGATTTTTCACTCACCTCAAATGGCCATGAGCCTTATTAGTTGTTCGACGTGAAGCTGAAATTCTAAGGTTGTTCAAAACAAAAAAAAGTTTGTTACTATGATCAATTTAAAATTTGAATTTCTACAATTTTGGCATTGAATTTGACGTTATGCATTTTATTATTGTAGGTGCCCATTATTTACATGCCTATGACGAGGTTCAATTAATAAACTTTTCAATTTTTTTTGTTCTTTCTGTTGCCTATTTGGGGGTGACCATATCAGCATCAGTGCACCAGATTCTATCAGAACTCCACAGCTAAGCGTGCTTGGGCGAGATTAGTATTAGGACGGGTGACCAGTAGAGGAGAAGCTTTGCAAACTTATCAACTTAAGACTTGTATGAATGTTATAACTAAATTGTCCTAAAAAACTAGAATTTGAAACATCCACAATCATAGAAGATAGGTTTGGATAAACAAAATTGATCTGTCACAAACATTTTTACATCCACCAAGGGATGTTGTTCATATTATTATAGGTTACCATGATTATATAATTTAAAAGTTACTCAATTTGGAAAGTCTAATACTTAAAAATTCCAAACTAATAGAGAAAGAATAGTTATGTAACCAATATAACCTAAGATAAAATATGAGCCTATCCAAAATTTAACTACAAATTAAGTGATCTATGTTAAACCAATAAGCATCTGAGATAATGAAGAGGGGCCAAAAGGTTTTGATTTATCTTTTAATAGCTAATGGGTTGAATGATGTTCATACCTAACATTGCAAATTTATCAAATAATTTAAGCAAATATTAACTAATTTTCAAGGTATTTATCATAATGGTCTTCCTAATGAATACTGTCACTGAAAAATCATATATCATTCCATTTATTCAGTTTCTGAATCATCATTTCCTATTTTACCTCATAAAAGATGAATCCAGCTGAATATATTGAGCATACGAGACGAATTGATGAATTACTTGAGAAGAGCTTTATAAGTGAAAGAATGAGCCTTATGTTATACCGGCTTTATTTACAACTAAGAATGATGGAATATGGAGTATGTGTTTGGATTATAAAGCCATCAATAAAATCACCATTAAATACAAGTTTCATTTATCTCAATTAAGTAATATGCAGGATATGCTAAATAAAGTTGCAATATTCTCTAAGGTTGACTTGAGAAATGATTAGCATAAAGTCAGATGAGTAAAGGCAAAGAGACGAATACTATTTTAAGACAAAAACTAATTATATGAATGAATAACAACATCTAGGATATTTTTAGACTTTATTGTATCTAATAAATGATTGAATGTTGATTCTAATAAGATTACAGCAAAAAATGAACAGCCAAAAGTTAATAATATACAAGATACTTGTAATGTTCATGATTTAACCAAAATTTATAGATTCATAAATGGTTTAGTGCACTTCTTATTCATAAGAAAGGGGACCTTAAATGGATTAAATCTATTAATCTTTCCTGTGTTGAGAACAAAGAAAAACTTATAAATGCTCCAGGACCCTGCATCCCTTTCATAGTGCACTTCTTATTCCACCAACCAAAATAACCCCTTAATGTAGTTCTCAATGCGTATGATTTGACATCATTTCATTAAATTGTTAACAATTCCTTCAAATTTCTATCTTCCCACCACTTTTTAAATTAAGTTTCAATTTTTTGCCAGATAATTCTATACAACATTTTCATGAAGCTATTTTGAATGAAAATTAACTGCACTACAACTGGTGAATTCCAAAAAATATCTTTTGCTAGCATGACAAGACCTATGCGTAATAACTCATAGATTACTATTCAAAAAGAACAATTTTTAGTTTTCCTTGCAAGATGAATACTAAGCGCTAAAATAGTCGGTGCATTGTCCAAAGCCAACATATTTGATTGAAATCCACGTGTACCAAAATGCCAAATAAAATTGATTTAAGAAAGTTATTTCAGTAATTATATTTTATTTATTTATGTATAATTCAATTTGAGGTATGCTTATCAGAATGAGATAAGTCCATTTTATTACTGAATTACTTAGATTGTCTAATAGTATGGATGACCAAAGTCTGTTGTCGCTGCCATAAAACTCAAAGTGTTATGTCTGAAATTTAATTTTATTATTTATCCTTTTTCCTTATTAGGCATAAATTCACATTTCCATTAGTTTGTTTTGCCAAGATTACTCTTCCCTTTAACTTCCTCTATTTTATTTACCTATCCATTTAGTATTGTAATAATTTCTTCTTTGCCTACCTTGTATAAAAGCTATTTCCACGTTTGTTGTGATTTCTAGCTTTTCTCAGTGAAATTAGGTTTTGTCAATTATCTAGCATCCTCTCTCTATCACCATCTCATCCAAAGATCATCCAAAGAAAAAAAAAAAAAAACTGCTTTCTTATTCATGCAAACCAAGAAACTTTATGAGCCATATGAAAAACTATAAGTAAAAACTAAGATGCACGTAATAGATTAGCTTTGATTTAAAAAAAATTTGATTTCCGCTATCAATCTTGTATGCCTACTTCAAGAATTTTTTTGGTTTCTTCTTTCAAATGCATGACAAAACCTTATACGCAACCATCCAGGAAAATTATCTTCTCATATATCAACATAAACCAGAATTATTTTACCTTAGTGATCACTTTCCATTATTTAGTTTCTTCAAGTATTTTATTATTGGCTGGATAGAGTTATTTATCAAAAGTAAATATATATATATATATATATATATATATAAATTAATTGTTGATTTTACATGGTTCAAATTTATCGTTGATTTCTTTATATTTATTCAATTGTTACACATTAATAAAGATCAAATTGTCATATGTTTTGGTTAGTATCCAAAAAGGTTATTTTGTATTTAATAGTCATAGATATATAAATTTAACTTTTTGTGTGTATTTTGCATTCATTGTATCAACATAAATACAATAGTAAACCTAAAACCTAAACTATCTGGCACTAAGAAAATTATTTAGGATATTATCCGAATATATCAATGAGAACACCATCTTGCTCTACATCTTTCCTAAAACCCAAAAATAGCAAACGAGGATAAATTCAAGCTCATGTATGCTTTTATAGTTGACTATAACAATCATATACTAGTGATGTTAGAGCTCATATTAAATTGAGGCATATGTTCTCAAATAATTAAGACTTAAGATTCAAGTGGTAGGAAGTCAAGAATATCAACAACCCACAAGAAAAATACCTAATGCTACTACATTTACAACTATAAGAAATTATAAAATAATTATGAGTAAAAATTTCCATCAGAAAGGAAAAAAAAGGCAAGAAACCCCATTGAGTGCCAAGGAATGCCAATTAGCTACTTAATTGCTAAGGAAGAAAAAGGGAACCTACTTGTAGGTTTACACTTAGTTGTCAAGCTTCGAGATTTATAAGATCTAAAGTTAGTGCTTTTTATACAGGCCCTCATTATTTATAGAAGCTTCCATGCAGTAACCATTCATAATCTATTTTCAATGACTATTATGCTTAATTGGTTGATTAGAGCTTCACGTCAGTTGCAAATCTTAAATGACCATTAAAGCCACCTCCACTTCCTGTGCCTAAGTGTTCAAGTCTAGCGTTGGTAATCTTTTTATGCTATGTGAAGGCTATCTAGGAAATGTAAATAAACCCATGTCACTAGAGACGTTTAAAATGATCAAAGTCATCTATTTCCCTTTCACATGATTTTAGTGTTGAAATAATACTAGGAATCTTTTTTAGGCATACATCTTATAGTTTCCCCGTGTTTTATATAATTTCTCAATACCTCATGCTATCAATCATTCTAGAAAATCTCAAATAATTTTCCGATCAGTAATGTGAAGGCAATAATCACAAATTTTCATCAAAATTTCTGAGAAAGTTTAACATAAATGAGCTCCATATCATAGTTCACAAGAACACTAAATCAAGATGTGTCTCAACTTAAGGGCACATACAACAATGTTTTGAAAAAATATGATGAAGTGATAATTCAGAGTTTGCTCCCTTTAGACTTTAACAAGAAAAAATAT